CGGCGACTCATGGCAGCCCAGCTCCAGGTTGAGCTGTTGTTCAGCATCTTAGCTGTAGAGGGCAGTGTCACTGGCCCTCCTATGTGGGATCCGAACCGGGGCCCTCTGGCATCCCAAGCGAGTTCTTAACCATCGCGCCACTCGGCCGGCCCTAATAAATTACTTTTTATTTTTTGTCTTGCCAGCAGAAAAAGTTTTTAACCCAGACACACAGAGAAACGGATAGAGAACTTTCTCTACATTCTTAAAGAAATTTTTCTGCACTTAAATGAGCATCTTATTATATCTATTTTTACTTAAAAACAGAAGGGTCACAATCACAATATTTTCTAGTTTAGTGTAGAAAAACAGAAAAAGAGGAAGAGTGATTTTCCAGTATGGCAAAAGATGAAAAAGATGAGGAAAAGTACAAAGAAAATATCTATTTTTGATTGGTTCCTCACCAGGGCTAAACAAAGCATAACCATGGAAAAATAAAGGAAAGAGGAAATACTATAGAGCCTGGAGATAGAATCCCCGTGGGGAAAACAGTGGGTCAGATAGTTCCCATCACTAACCATGAAGTGGCACTGTACCCCCAAAACGTAAAAGGCACTCAGTGCATATCTCACGTTCCAAGGCAAGCACCATATGCATGTTAAGTGTCCATTAACTGCTAGGCAAAGGAGTATATATAATAAGGTGCATGTGCTCCTGTTGATGCTGTTTTTAAAGACTCAGTTCCCTGATGTCTCTTACATAAAGCCTCCTCTAACTTCTGAAAGCCAGGTCACTCATCCCTACGTGCCATAATGGCAATCGTAAGACAGACGGAGCCCTGCTCTGGTGAAGGGGTCCTTGCACTGCTGTGTGATGAGTGCTGTGACACCAGGTATGTGCCAACCCAGACCTGAGGGGTCAGGAAAGGCCAAGTAGATGTCACCTGGGCAGTAAGAGGGGGAAAATGGAGGAAAGGGGGAAATAGAATGTTCTAGCAAGAATGTAAAGGCCTGGCGATGATGACACATTTGAGAATGTGCCTGAAGTTCAGAAGAGCGATGTGGGCTGGACACAGATTTAGAAGACATCAGTTTAGAAATAAAAATTGACTCCACAGAAAAGATAACACCCAAAAACAGTAAGTGACACGGAGGGCCAATGTGAAGACATTTAAAAGACAGGTAGAAGAGGTGCCTAAAAAGCAGCAAGAAGCTAAAAAGAAAACCTATAGGAGAATGGCATCACAGAAGCATTTTAAGAAGCTAATAAAGGTAAAGGAAGGTAAACGATAATGTATCCATCAAATTTAGCCCCAAAAATGGTGGTGGAGAATTTCCCAGAGTGGGAGGTGGAGTGAGGGTGTCAGAGTGAATTGTTATGGAATGCACAGTAAGGGGGAGAGGAGGAGGAGACGGCAAATACAGACGCTTCTTAGAATGTGGGCATGACATCAAGGGGAGTAACACTGTAGGAAGGAGATAGGGGGTCCACAAGTGACTGGGTGAGCGAGTGGACGAGTGAGTAAGCGTTCTTTGAGGGAGATGTAAACGTTAAAATCCAAAGGAGAAGCCTGGGCAGGGAGATTAATGAAAGATAGAAACATGAGGATAATTCACAGAGAGCATACATGGATCGGATCCAGTCAGGCCAAGAGAAAAGTGCAGTCCATTAGGCAACAATTATTTACCGGGTGTTATAACTTCCCATATTCTAGGAGCTGGGAATACAATGATCAATAAGACAGACAGCATACTTAACTTTCGAGCATCTTGAATTGTAATGGGAAGAGAAAGACCATAAAAAATAAATATGCTTTTCAATAGCAATAGGCATCATGAATGAGAATAAACTAGGGTTAAGTAGTCCTGAGTGACTGGTAGGCTGCGTTAGCCTGGGTGGGCTGGGGAGGCCCCTCTGAGGAGGTACGACGTCAGCTGAGGCCTGAATAACTTTAAGAAGCAGCACTGTGGAAGATCGGGGGAAAGCGTATTTGGATCAAGAGGAATAGGACAGAATGAGCCTGACATGGCAGGCTGGAGGAACAGAAACATCAGCGTGGCTGGAGCACTGTGGGTAAGGGACAGAGTGAAGGCAGAAGTCACAGAGGTACACAGGGACTGTAGGCCATCAGGAGTTAGGATTTTATTCTAAGGAAAATGCAAAGCATCTGGAAGGTTTGAACAAGAGCTGCGATGGCCGGATTTTTGCTTCAGAAAGATCACTCTGGCTGCTGTGTAAAGGTCAGACTAGAAAGGCCAAAGCAGAGGCAGAGACCCAATTAGGAGGGCACTGCACAAGTCTAAACATGTGATAATGGTGGCTGGGACTGGGGTTTAGCACAAGAGATGGTGAAAAGTGCTCAGGTTTGGCACGTACCTTGTTGAGCTAGCAGGGCTTCCTGTAGAGTTTGAGGAGTCCAGAATGACACGAGGACAACTAGCACCAAGAAGGCTTGTGTGTGGGAAGGTGGGAGGGAAAGAACTGGAAACAGAAGATTTGGGAGAACCAGGGAAGATTTAAGATGTCCACTAGACTTTCAAGTGGACATGCTGGGAGTCAGCTAATCACTCAGCTTAGAGCTCAGGGGACAGGCCTGAGATGAATATGTGAATCTGAGTCACCTGTTTCTAGATCATATTTGGTACGATGCAGCTACATGAGTTCACCTAAGGAGAAAAGGACAGGCAAAAAAGAGAGCTGAGAACAGAGCTCGTGGTCTGTCCATCATTTAGAGATCTGGTAGAGGCACAAGAGCTAGCAAAGGAAAAAGGACAACTCGGTAGAGAAAGCCACATGGATGCCCACGGGAGACAGCACTTCAAGCAGGGAGAAGTAGAGTATGTTTGGAGAACTGATCACATTGCAGGTCACTAGTGGCCTTGTTAACAACCATTTCAGTGGGGTTGTGGGGTTAAAGACTAAGTGAAATGTAAGGTGAAAAAGAGAGTAAACACACACAAACAACTCTTCAGAGAAGTTTGGTGTGAAGGTAAGCAGAGCAATGGAGCGGTAGTGTGTAAGCTACAGGAATTCTTTTCTTTTTCAAGCGAATGATATTAAGGCATGTACACAGGCCAGGAGAACGATTCAATAAGGGGGTGGGGTGGGGGGATGAGGATTCAAAAAAGAAAAAAGATGGCTCCAGGAGTGACGTCCTTCAAAGGAAAGAGTTCCAGGGCACACGGGCTGCCTTAGGAGGAAGGACGTTTTCTACTGTATCCCAAGGGAAGGAACAGGTGGACACACATGGGAGTAGAAGTAAAGGTAGCTCTTGTGTGACTGTGGCTATTTTCACCATGAAATAATGGCAGTCATTCAGAGAGGGTGGTGGTGGTAGGGTGGGAAGATGGTCAGAGGAGAGAGGTGTGGACTGGTCCTCTTAAAGAGCGAGAAAGTGAAAGTACTGGTCACAGTGGTTAAAAAACCTGTTTGTGATTAGTATCATTCAGGATCAATGCTCAGGAATTTGAAGTGAGTCACTTCAGCAGAGCTGCTTGAATTTTCTCCAGCAATGTTCAACTGCTTAGGTGTAGGCCAGGAGTAAATGGATACTTGGGTTTATCCTGAGCTGGAGTTGTGCACGTAAGTAGAACAGAGCGACAGGCAGGCAAAGGATGTTACTTAATGATCTGAGTGTGGGACTACAGAACGTAGGCTGAGTAAGGAGGAAAGCAGGGGCATGCAAGTGGTGGTAGATAGTCAGTGGTAAGATGAAGGACATCGTGATGAAGACACAGAGCAGAGTGAAAAGTACCCGAGAGTTAAGGGAGTTTGAAAGAAAGAAGTAATTGTGGAAATTTAAGAGGTAATGCTGTTGAGGATGGAAAGCTTAAGTATACGACTGAATATGTGGCTGTGGCGGGCAGAAAAAAGATGGTAGTAGATGAAAGTCAAAGAACTGAGAGACGAGGGTGCTGGATGGATCATCGTGGACATGCAAGTCGGTCACCATAAAACCTCTTCCATTGTAATGAGAGGGAAGAAAAAAAAGATGAGCACAGAAAGGTTAAGTTTCAGATTTGGTGGTAATAAGACACTACTACTACTATTATTGTTGTTATTATGTTATCCTTTTAGTGACAGAGCCAAAGATGAGGTTAATAGAAAAAGAGACAACATGTTAGTAAGGATTCATTCTCTAAGTCTGGTGGATTTTTTTTCTTGTGAATTTCACTAACTAATGAGCCACTTAATATACAGTTTTCTGGTCATACAGTTTTTGCCTAATCATGTTATTGAAAAATAAATATAAACAAGTATTTCATTTACCTTGCATCAACTCCATCAAATACTTTCTGACATTCACTTCCAATGACTTCTTGCTTCAGATAATACAGCATTCTTACACGAAGCAAAACCCTAATAATGAGGGAGAAGAAATCAAAAGAAACAAAGATATTAATCATTAAAGAAAATCCATCCATGGGGTTTAAATTAGAAAAGAATAAACAGAATTTTCATAATGAAATAACTTCTGATTAAACAAATCTTATTACTACCATATATGTATATATAAAACAGGTTTCTCCAAAATCTCCACAATCATCATTATTTAATATCCAAGTAAGATATAGTGAGGTCATTTCGAGGCCAGTTTTATTTCTCTCTCTGTTGATGAAAACAGTGACACAAGAGGCACCGTGATATGCTGAAGGGTACCCTGTGAGATTAAGATTAGAAGTGGTCCTAGACCACATTGTCTCTACTCAAAATCAGCATGCTTTCAGATTATTAATAAATTCAGAAAAGTAACCTTTGAGCGAGCTGTGTTAAAAACACCCCACTACCTACTTATTACAGTGGTGTTTTATATGTTTTTTGTAGCCTTCATCTTGAAGTAGCTGCTCAGGATTATATTTCCGAAGCCATTCTGCTTTCTGGATATCAAATGAGCTGGTCTGGGTCTTTACTTTCTTCCCTTTTCGGCCCCTGGGTACTGGGGCTGATAGGCCTGTTAAAACAAGAAGAGCATGTCAAATCAGGGATCATTTGTCCAAAAGATCTGCAATTTGAAACATTTTTTCAATGCAATAAATTTCTGGAGACTTTCAGAGGTCTATGAAGGCTCTACAAAGATCTTTAAAATAATTATAACTATAATACTGATACAATCATAAGATATGGATTAACATGACGTTACACATATATTAACACAATTTCCCACAGTAATTCTTATATCTCATGTGAATCATTCTGATTTCCTTTTTGTTCCAAAACACATTATTTTTTTCAAAATGTAAAAATCAAATGACAGACCTTGCCATCTGCTTTACTTCTGCTTCCCTAGTTACAAAATAATTTTTGTCTTCAACTTTGAAAACTGATTTTACTAATAACATGGATTAGGTTTACCCAATACGGATTCCTGTTTATTTCTTTGATATTTCGGTTGTGAAATATTTCAGAAATACAATAAAGAATTCCCACTCTTAATATTCTATATTTGGTCAGTTTTTTATTGAAGGAAATAACACATAGTTGATGTCCCATTCACTCTTACCTCCCCAGAGAAAATCACCAGCCTGAATGTTTTTTATTACATGCATGTTTATACTTGTATGTTGGAGAAATATTGAATAAATTTTGTGACATTATATTATACATATAATTCTGCAACTTATTTACTACTGTAGATTTTTTTGAGATTAATACTTGCTGATTCATGAGGCTCTAATTCATCCATCTGCATTGCTGTGTAAAAATCTCTTGTATGACTGTACCACTTCATATTAATCTTCAATGATGCTTGAGTTGTTATACTTACAATTTTTCACACTTACCAATCATGCAGTTTTCACTCTTGCTTTCAATTCTTACCTCATGTATCTTTTCCTTGCTGTATTCTACCAGCTAGGAGTTGCATCATAGTGGTAAATGATGCATTTATGTCCATTTGTCGTTTTATCCTTAAAATTTTGGTGGTTTTACCTTTATATTTTGAGGCTATTTTGTTCAGTGCATACAAATTCATAATTATATTTTCTTTTATGGGTTGGTCTTTTGTATTATTAGGTAGTGTGCTTTTTAAAATCCTAATTAATGCCTTCTATCTTAAACTTTATTTTGTTCTATGTTAATATTGCTTTGTATTCCAGTCCTCTTCACTCTTGTTGGTTTGGAAACTAAACAGTATATGCATACTTAAATTGTCCTAAAATGTAGGCATTTTACACTGTTAAACTTATCCCTAACAAAATTTTCTCAAATTTCTCATTTAATCCAACTTACTTTTTTATTTCTGCTACATGTAACTTAGAATTTATTGGAGATCTGTTTGCTTTAATTGTTTCTATAGCACTTTACTCTTCTTTCAAAACCAAAATACATGAGATATTTTTGAAGATATTAATGAGTTTTTTAAAACTTGTCTTCTCCTTTTTCAGTTGCCTTGTTTATTGTTTTCCTTGTTTCCTTCAAGTTCATTTTAAGGATTTGTTTTTAATCCCTCTCTCTCACTTTGGAGACTTTCCTCCTATATAATATCCTTGGTCGTTTGCTCCTATTTCAGAATGACAGAGCAAAGAGCTGATAGGTCATCTGAACGGTGAACTAACTGACAGGAATCACTGAAGGGTAATCTTGGTGGTTTCTTCCTGTCATGATCTTTTTTTTTTTCCCCCCAAAGATTTTTATTGGGGAATTGGGGGAAGGGAAACAGACAAGCTGCTGTCCTTTTGTTCTTCAGTCTAGTTGTGGAAGACGTTGCTTCACTGGCCCAAGTTGGCACCATCATTGCGCTCTTGCCAGACGAGGCACATCAGTCGCCGGCTTCTGGACGGCCGCTCACAGCGGCTGCTGGCTGTTCACGCTGGCTGCTGGCCACACAGGGTAGCCCATGGCAACCCACTTGCCGTCGCTGGCAACTCACAGCAGCCCAGCTCCAGGTTGAGTCGCTGTTCAGCATCTTAGCTGCAGAGGTCAGTGTCACTGGCCCTCATATGTGGGATCTGAACCAGGGCCCTCTGGCGTCCCAAGCCAGCTCTTAACCAACGTGCCACTCGGCCGGCCCCCTGTCATGATCTTTAGGTTTTGGCCTGGTCAGATTCATCAAAGAAAATTCCTTAGTTTTCTTCCTTGAGTTTCGTATTGTCCAGTATACAGACCTTCATTTAATCCCCACTTAGTAACTCCATACCCCAAATACCAACGCAAACACAGATTCACTATTTTACCCTCTCCAGGGAATAAACTTTCAGTCTTCATCCTGGCTCCAAAGAGTTGAAGAGGGCATTTAGGTATCTGAGACTCTTTTACAGAACATTAACTCAAAGCCCTTGTCCTTTAATTCCTTCTCCCTTTCATGGGTTCCTGATGTCATAAACTCGGGAAACATTTGGGTGGTATTAGAAGCACATCAGTGAGTTATTGCCTTTTCCCAATGCTAACCCAAGATTTAGCTCTCTGGTTCGTTTAGTTACCACTAATTCCAAAATTTTGTTGCTATTTCCTCTCCCATTAGCTCCACTTTTGAAGGTTTATGCCTATTTATTTTTTCATTATGAAATTAAGCATATACAAAAATAGTTGGAATAACATGATGGATCACCGTGTCCCATCATCCAACTTCAATAACTATCAACACATGGCCAATTTTGTTTCATCTGTACCCTGTTCACTCCCAACCTCCCATATTATTTTGAAGTAAATCTAACACATCAATCATTCTATTAATGAATATCAGAGTATCTTCTTTTTAATATATAAAACATAAGGCCTCCTCTAAAAAACAAAAAACTACAATACCATTATCAGCCCAAAGAAATATAATAATACTTCCTTAATAGTTGGTAGTCAAATTTACAACTGTCTAATAAACATAATAAAAAATTTTCCCTGGGTTGTTTGAATCAAGACCCAAATAAGGCCTACACACTGCAACTGGGTGAAGACTCTTAAATCTCTTTTAGATCACAACAGGGTTTTCAATCTCGGCGATAGACATGCTCCTCAACTTATGATGGGGTTATGTCCTGATAACCACGTTACAGGTTGAAAATATCGTAAGTTGAAAATACAGTAATACACCTAACCTACTAAACATCAGTGCTTAGCCTAACCTACCGTAAACGTTCTCAGAACATTTATATTAGACTACAGTTGGGAAAAATCATCTCACACAATAAATACAGTACACAGTATTGGTTGTTCACCCTCGTGATCGTGTGGCTAGCTGGGAGCTGTGGCTCCCTGCCACTGTCCAGCATTATAAGTATCGTGCCGCATGTCGCTAGCCCAGGAAAAGATCAAAGTTCCAAATTCCAAATACAGATTCTACTGAATGTGCATTGATTGTGCACCATCGTAAAGCCTAAAAAATCATAAGTCAAAACCATGGTAAGTCAGGAACTATCTCTATTGGTATTTTGAGCTGCATAGCTCTTCACTGTGGGGTGCTGTCTTGTGCATTCTTGGTCTCTACCCACTAGATGCCAATAACATGCTCAAAGTTATGGCAACTCAGGGTGGGGATGGGATTCGGGCACTGGTTTATAGAAACCCTATCTATTTCTTCCCCTCCCAGTATTTATTTGCTGAAAAAACTAGGACTTTTGCCAGTTGAATTTATCAAGCTTAATGTCTTAATATGTTTTCTTTATTGACATGTAAGTGGGGTCCCAAAGAGTAAAATTATATTTGTGTGAATCTTCTATCTTTATCAGAAGTCAGCTTTTCACATTAATAATTTCATTGCATCCTATGGAGATAGGCCTCCAATGATCACCTTATTCTAAAATAGGTGCTTTCTGTTGTTCTCTATCTTAGCACCTATTTACTTATCAGTACTTACTTCAATCTTTAATTATTTAGTTAATTCACCTAGATTTGTATTATGTCTGTCTACCTAACCAGAATGTAAGGTTCATGAGCCCAAGGATGTTGTCTATCTTGTTTCTTCTTATCTTCTCAGTATCATGCACAAGAAGCATGTAGCAATCACTTTAGTAGTTATTTGTTCATTAAATAAAACAAAATTTAACACAACTTTAAAGGCACATTAACTTTTTTATCTGTATTAAAAATGCAATTATTTTATTCTATGAAATAATTATTTGATGCAGAAAAGAATGTTCTGTTATCAATGCTGTGGAGAAAAAAGTACTTGTATATACCGCTGATAAGACTGTAAATTTGGTATAGCCACATGTGACAGCAAATTAGTATTTATGAAAATTTAAAATTATATGCATGTTTCCCAAACTATAGTTACATACAAACTGCTGAGGAACTTGTTAAAATGTAGATTGTGATTCAGTAAGTCTGAGGCCTACGTTTCTGCATTTCTAAGAAGATTCCAGGAGATGCTAAGGCTATAAATCCATAGATCACATTTTAGGTCTTAAGGATGTACATATATATGCTATACTCAACAATTCTATTTCTTGATATTTACTGTGATAGATTTATTCATGAGCACAAGGATGAACGTATAAGGATCTTCACTGAAACTTGTTTTCCAATTACCTAAAAGTGGAAATGTCCTAAAAGCCCATCATTGAAGGAAATGCTAAATGAATTATGGAATATCCATACTTTGTGGACTACTAAGCAGGAGTTTAGTGCTTTAGGAGTTTAGCACAGAGACAGTGCTACTTGAATATGGATAGGAAGAGCTCAAAGACATACTGTTGTGTCAACAGCTTGCAAACCGATACATGTTTGATAATGGTACCTAAAACTCAACAAACTGGTAACATTGGTATTTTCTTAAGTTGGAACATGAACAGAGGGTGAAGGATAAAGGCTTTTTAATATTGTCTGTAATGCTTCAGTGTTTTATAGGGTAATATGTTGAGTATTACTTATGGAACTAAAAATACGTTGGAAAAAAAACAAAACAAAACAGAGGAAGGTTCATACCAAGATGATTTTGTAGCTCTCGTGTCTGCCCATCTTCAGTTGGAGTAATGAGATCCCATATGAAGCCTTTAATTTTCTCATCTCCCCGGTAATGAATAAGGCAATATGCTAAGAGGGCTCGGCAAATTATTTCCACATCATGTTCATTTAGCTGCCTTTTAAAACGACCATGTGATAGAATCTCTCTCCATCGGCCCCATCTGGTTAAAAAGGTATATTTACATTAATACTGAGCAAGTTATAAAAAAACCCAAAAACATAGCTCATGGATAAAAGGCCTCAAAACTGCAAAAAACACTGTCATTAACAGGATTTACTTAATAAAGGTTTTTACTCCATGAGTAAAATACAGCGGCATGGTACAGTAGTTTCTAGTATATTTTATTTGATAATGAATAACAACAATATCCATTTTGCATTACCGAATATGCAACTCTGAGGAGTTTAACTTAACTGATATTTATAATTTAAAATTTTTAAAAATCCCATCACTTTATTAAATATATGTTAAACATATAAATTCAGGGTATTTTAGAAATAGATATCGATTCTAACAAGATAAATACACTAGAATAGTATATGTTTTCTGTAACTTGACATGCCACACTACTAGCAAGAAACTTTGAAAATAATAGCTTACCCATAAACCAGCAGATTTTTCTCCACTCTGAAGCACTCGGTTCTTCCATAGCCATTGGAACGGTCACAGGGTCTCCGGAGTTTGGGCTTTTCTTCTCCTTCACTTTCGGCTTCAGATAATTCAGCCAATTCATCTTTTGTGGCACTAAAGGGTCTCGTTTGCTTCCTAATTCTTGGCGTGTCAATAACCAAACTGTTCTGTAAAATTTAACAGCTATTACTTGAAGGTCCTTTTACCATTTTGCTTATAACAGTGTCTGACATTTTCATCTTTCAAACTGTATAAATAATAAAAATCTAAATTGAATTATGAATTAATTAGGTGAAGAAAATTACAATCCATAAATTCAGCTTAAAAATATATTTTATGGGGCCAGCCAAGTGGCATGTTGGTTAAGAGCTGGCTTGGGATGCCAGAGGACCCCGGTTCGGATCCCACATATGAGGGCCAGTGACACTGCCCTCCACAGCTAAGATGGTGAACAACAGCTCAACCTGGAGCTGGGCTGCTGTGAGTCGCCAGTGACCATGTAGGCTGTAGCCCCTGCTGCAGTGGGTTGCCATGGGCTACTGTGTATAGCCAGCAGCCAGCGTGAGCGGCCAGCAGACACAATGAACGGCCGTCCAGAAGCCGGCGAATGATCTGCCTCGCCTGGGAAGGGCACAATGATGGTGCCAACTTAAGCCAGTGAAGCAACGTCCTCCACAACTAGACTAAAGAACAAAAGGACAACTTGTCTGTTCCCCTTCCCCCAATTCCCCAATAAAAAAAATCTAAAAAAAGCAACAACACACACACACACACACACACACACACACACACGTATTTATGGTTATATCAGATGCACAATACAATAACTTTCATATTAATAATTAAGCCAGATACCAAATTCTTTTTAATCCTGTGACTGTAATATCATAGTTATATATGTATGGTATTAAGGATTTTCAAGGAATAAAAAAATTTTTAAGTTGATTTGGCAGGTTGTTGGAATTCTGTAAGAAAAGTTTTCCCTTTCCCCTGTGCAGGTTTCATTAAAACACACACACACACACACACACACACACACACACACACCCCTAATTTTATTTTTTCTTGAGTAATTTCAAATGTCCTTTGCCCATAATCTTTTGACATTTGATGTATTTCTGATCAACTTTATTAGCTTTTATATAATAATATTAAGTTCCATATACACTTCAGCTACAAATAGTCTCAGCAGTATGACTGCACTTTTATTTTTTCACATTTTTATGAGATTTTTATTATATTATATAAAAATAAGATTTTTAATCTTATATATTTGAACATACCAAACATTTTCTTTGTGATTTCTAGTTGAGAATGTTTTCTCACAAAATATTTCATAAAATAAAAATCTAGTTTTTCTATTTTTGCATGCTTTAATTAAAAAATAAATTTTTTATCATAAATACAGATATATTATTACGATGCTTCTCTCCAATGCTAACTCCATATTCTAATCACAATTATTAAATACTCTTTTTTACTCTAATACTATCTTTTATTAAAATCTTATAATTGATCTTTTTCTGTTCTTATTCTATTCTTTGTTCTTAAAATCTCTTGGTGTCACACTATTTAAATTATGGTTCCTTTATAATATATTAATATACTTTTATATCTTAACATATAACTAATGCTTCTCTGTCTTAATTATACTTATTTTCAGAAAATTTTTCAATGTTTTTTAACAAAGTATAAATTAGAAAATATAACTGCAGAGTGTTTAATAACTATATGCTTCTATAAATTGATCTATAAAATCCATAACTCCTTAAGATAATCTACAAGGCCCTGTTGATTTGATCCATATCTATGGTGTCTGACCCTACCTATCACCACTATCACCACCTCCCTTCATTCTGCCACAATATCATTTCTCTTAGGGAATACATTGAGCTTGTTTCCACTAAAGGCTCACTGCCATTCTATCTAGCTTGAAAGCTCTTCCCTCATGTCTTTATATTGTTGTGTCTTATCATGCGAGTCTCAGCACAAAAGCCCCCCTCAGAGTCACCTCCCTTGGCCACTTTACCTAATGCTATCCACTCCTCCAGGCATTCTCTACAAGGTTACCGTTTTATTTTATTTTCTTTCTAAAAAACATCTTACGTATTTGTTTACTTCTGTCTAACCCATCAGGATTCGTAGGCTCTATAAAAGCAGGGGTTTGTCTGTCTTGTGCATTATTAGCCCTAATATGAGAATGGTGCTTGGCTCATACTGGGCCATAATTAGATACACAGCATAAATGTTATGTGTCTGTGTATTACCAATACATACTTTTGAAAAGTCATAAACAAAGATCATATTATACTCATTGTTCTACATATTTCTCTCTTTAAATTTAACTGTCTTGGAGCTCTTTCTATGTCAGTACACAGGGATCTACATGATTATTTTTATTTATTGCATTAGACAGTATGGCTGTACCATTCGTCTATCATAGGAGATTTAGGTTCTAAATTTTTTCTAAAGCAAATAATGTGGCAAAGAGCATCTCTGTACAATATCATTGTATATGGGTGACTATTGCTGTACAACAGATTCCTAGGAGTACATGTAATAGTATTGACTATGCATTCTTCTAAGGGAATTTTAGATTTTGTTCAGTCTTATGAAAAAACTTAACATTTTGATTTGGGTTGCATTTCTATTTTTATAAACTCTTAAAAATTTTTAAATATGTAGTTTTTCCTTTCCAACTGAAAAATCTCCCAATTAAATTTGTTAATTCACTTTACTGAAATCATATACATCTTTCGTTAGGTATAACCCTAAGTATATATATTTTTTCTACTATAAAGTATATCTCCTCTTTTCCTATAATTTTTCTTTTTTCTTTTTTCTTTTTTTTAGCTGAGCCATCCTGCTACCTATTGGTAGCTTAGCAGCTGCTCAGCTCGGGCTGGCATCGAACCGCTGTTGCTCAGAGCTCAAACTCTTGAGCGAGCTCTTAACCAACTGAGCCACTCGGCCGGCCCTCCTATAATTTTTCTATTTCTGTTAGTACCTATGTTTAGGAAGGCTAAATGGAATATTTATCTTTTATCCAATTAATTCACTAAACTCACTTACTTTTAATAGTGGTTTGCTGATTCCATTGTATTTTTAGGCATATAAACATGCCACATGAAAATAACGATTTTATTACTATCTTTTGAAATTTGTTTCATAGAGAATTATACATATTTCCAAAATATTTTAAATAATGACATTATTCATCATTGTACAATTTTACATTTTAAAATCCAAATACATCTCATGCATCAATCTTAGTATGAAATCCTTTTACTCATTTAGCAGTTATTTTGGTAGTACATAAGTCTCACAAACTGATTACAGAAGTGTCTTACAAAGTGAGCAATTATGTTATTATCAGTTCCATGAATTGTATTTTAGCTTTTTGGCCCTTTCTTCCTTAGTTCCAAGGGAAGTTATAATGAAATAGGTTAAAAATACCACTTTCTTGACTGCCTTTTCCTCCCCTCCTTTTATATTTGAAAGAAATATCATTAAAGGGATCTAACACCAACAAAACAAAGTTAAAGGGCAAAATAAAAACATGATTTAAAGAACTTTTAAAAATTAAAAAAAACACATAATTTTAAGAATCTAAATACTATCCTAAATTAAACTTTCCTCATATTACAACCTATCATGACAGGTATCAGAAGTATGAAATTTCTACTGCCCTACATCAATTTACTTATGCATGTAAATTAATTTTAGTAAGTACACAGTTCAATACCTTAAAATAGCATAATAATATTACCAAGTATTCCAAAAGGTAATTTTTGTAAAGGTAAAAAAATACTTACTCTGCCACTGATGGCATCAATATCTATTTCTGCCTTTTTAGCCCATTTTTGCCAGAAGTTAGGATCATCTAAGGAAATATCTGTCCGGTTTCCAGATGCTACAAAACTCGCCTGAAATAAATAATGGCAGGTTTTTAAAACGTTTTGAAGCTTAGAGGAAAAATTTATCAAAGCATATTTAAAACATTATCTCTTCACATTTACTGTGACTATAATTTGAAATTTAGCGTATGCACATACGTTCAGAAGATGAAACATACCACAGCAACTGCTTAAAGCAAAAGGCTTAAGGCAGAAGGCTGAATGCCAACACAGGCTGGAGCTTTAGGAGCAGAGTTAAATAAGTGGTTATTGTTGTTTAACTCAAACTTTTGGTAAGCAAGGATCAAATATTGTTGGTCAAGAAACCACACAGGACAGATATGCTTTCTAGAAACACCACGTGAATATTAAGAAATCAGGTTAGAGCAATAATTTGAAGCCTGCTTGTTCTTTACAGCTCATTTTCTGGTATTCTCCCACTTAACTTCAATCATATTATTAGATAAATATGTCTCCTAAAGAAAATGAAATACAGAATATGAGAAATAAAGAAAGATGAATCACTGTCAGTCTTTGTTTTTAAAACTATTTTCCTTACAACAAAAATATTTCATAATCATTGTAAAAATTTAATAAATTGAGGGTAATAAAATTAGAGAATATAAGTGATTTATATTCTTAAATATTGTAAAAAGTACAAAATCTTTTAGTTGTAATTAACTTTAAACATTACAGGTCAACACTGTAACATATAAACTAATAACCATTATTGAAACTGAAGTTCCTAAACATAAATATGCCACTTCAAAGAAAAGCCAACAAGGTGCTTGATAAAAATGAAACAAGCAATGAAGATACATGATGCTTTATGAAAGAAAAGGGCCTGAAAGATGCATGCTAACTCTTAAAAGAATTAATGGAAGAACATGGTGACATAAAATGATTTTCAAAGAAGGATATAATTAGTAAATGGTTTTAAGATAATATCTAATTATCTAGGATATAATCAAATGATTAAAACCTTCATTAAAAACTCATCTTGATGGTATTTTAAAATGCAAAATATCATACATTAAAAAGATAAAACTGTTACAAGTAAACAAGACATTTATAACATTCAAGTTTGAACACTGGAAAACTGATGATATCAAGGAATTATTGTGAATTTTATTTTTAAATGTGATAACTGTAGCTAATGTTAAAGAAATTTTTATCCTCAGAAATACATATGAAAAGATTTATGGAGATGATGGGATACTGTCTGGGATTTACTTTAAAATAATATAAAAGACAGGTAGGGTAGTAATTAAATAAGTTTAGCATGAGTTGATATCTGTTGAAGCTAATTGATGAACACACAGGTTTTATTATACTATTCTGTGTATATTTATAATTTGAATCTTTATAAAACATTGAAAAAAAATGAGTAGGAACAAAATTAAAATCCTAAATGCTTCTTGCTGAACTTTAAGATTCTGTTCATAACATTGCTTATATCAAGTAACAAGTACATTCATTCCATCAAAACATTTTTTTGAGATTGGGTTTGTAAGGTGCTTGTATATAGCAAGTATTAAATATAAATGTTTAAAAATGTGTACTTTGTTAGAATATTTATGAAACAAGTGACAGAAATAATGCTTTAATGAATTAAATTTAAATTTCCTTTTTTTTAATTTGCTCTAAACGATAGCTTTATTATTATTACTGTGAAACTACTGAAATAAGTAATTTTTTTATTTCTTTGAAATGATCAGTGTGTTCGGGGAGAAACATGGCTCCCAAAGATGTCTAGGTTCTAATTCCTGGAATCTCGTAAGTGTTAGTTTATATGGCAAAAAGAACTTGGCAGATGTACATTATCCAAGTGGGTCCCAAACGTAATCACAACTGTCCTTATAAGAGGAAAGAGGAGGCCATTTCACTACAGAAGAGGAAGAGGCTATGTGACAACACAAGCAGAGACTGGAATAATGTGGTCACAAGCCAAGAAAAGCAGGCACTCTTAAAAGCTGGAAGAGATAATAAACAGATTCTCCACTGGAAACTTCAGAAGGAACCAGCCCTGCTGATAACCTTGATTTCAGCCCTGTAAGGATCATTTTGGACTTTCGACATCTAGAACTGTAAGACAATAAATCTGTTTTAAGCCACTAACTTTGTGGTAATTTGGTACAGAGGCTATAGGAAATAATACAGCAAGACACTTCTTAATGATAAACAACATATTTTAAAGACTCATATCCAACTGAAAAAAAGCAAAGTCTAATTAGCTTGATAAAACAAAAAGCAGATAGCCAACTGCATAAAAGTATATGATGGCAATTCATCAAAATAGTATGAATGAGTATGAGAAACTGGCATCATCTTACTGCTCAAGTAGCTCCTAAGCTCTGAGGAGACTTCATTTTGTTAATTCAGAAATAAAATTTTTAACTAATATGATATCCATACTTCATTAATATCCAAATCTTCATTAATATAAACATCAATTTTTAGGATCAATGAAAAGTTCACTGAAGTTCACAGGGCTTCATTTTATGCTATAGTTTCATTGATATATGCTTCAAGTTTAAGCAATCTAGCAAATGAGCATTTGCTTTACAAGAATTGGAGAATATTTAACATGAAAAGCCATTAAATATAAAGTCATTAAAATAAAAAAATGGGTTTTGAAACATTACTTTATGGTTGCTTACCTTAAAAAAAAAGTTCTAGGGTACAATGGATAATCATTTTTATTCTGCTATCAGATAACTGTTGATAATTAAAATAATTTGCCTGGAAGAAACTAATGATTAAATAGCTTTTTAAATATTCATTATAAGAGAAGTGGTAAAATTATTTTTCAAATCATTTTTTTATATTTGTAAATAATTCCAAAATCTACTGTTAACTGACATGTAACATATTTTCAAGTTGTCTAACATGTAACAATGGATTAATGGCCATAGAAATGCAACGCCTGTTGTGGAAGATATCATCAAGAACAGGTTTACCAACTCCTTCCCAAATGTTAAATAAATATCCTAGCTCCCAGAATAATATTTTTCTTTAAATGTATTCTTTTAATCATTAAAACCCTTAATTATTTATTAGGAAAGACTTTTAAATGGTGAAATCTATCTTCCTATATCAGAAAGTTGCAAAAAGAGAGTAGGTACCACAGAAGGGCCCTCACAAATAAGCAATCCATCTGAAGAATGATTCTGACAATTTTGTCTTGTTTTTTATTTTGAGAATTAAGTAATTCAAAGTATTTTGTTCTATACCAAGTATTTTTAAAATCAGACCAGAAACTCTATTTCTAGCATCCACCTGATTGCCCTCATGAAAATCTTTCAAAACAATGTTTAGGTGATACGACCACTTATAAATGAAGTTACCAATAATGATTTATTTGATGGATATGTACTAAGTTTAAATAGTCTTATTATGCACAATGTTCCATATACATAGCTTCTTATCAAAACTATTTGATAATGCAAAGAAACACAGACTGGAATTACTTCATTTATCCACACCACTGAAAACAACTGTGCATAGTCAAAGTCTTTGGCAATTCCAGGAAGGTATAAAATACTATCAACTTTGCATCTTCGGTGCCACTATATATAGTGATGCCATATTCCACTATGCTAAATGCTCACTAAATAGTGGCATTGCCACACAAATATGGAAATGAACAAATTATAAAACAACCACAAGCACACTCTCTGGACTTGCCTCAGCAATTATGGTACCTCATCAGTCGGCTCTGTTTAAATCTAACTGTTACTCCCTGGTTTAAGGTTTAAATATATACATTAAAATGCTTAAGTATTTCACATTAGAAGAGCACAGTTGGTTATGATTAGAGCACACCTGAGTAAAATTAAATACTCACATAGCCCTTTACAGCAAAACAGGAAAGGCCAAGCATGATTATGCTCTCGTTTAAAGAAAAGGCTCACTTGTAAAGGTGAAATTGTCCAAGGTCACTCAGCTTATGAGTCAGATGGGGTTCTAACTCTCCATGCATTATCATTAACTTTGTAAATAAGAAAGCCTGGAATCTTCTGGGGTCATTAAGTACTTTATATTCCTACACTGATTAAACAAACAAAAAAAAACAACCTTTAAGAATATCTCTATGCTTAGCCTAACTAACAAAGTCCATTTCTATGTCTAATGCCTTTTGATTAAATTAATTAGATCTCAGATAATTTCAAGCATAAGGGAAAAAAATATGAGTAGTGTACTGACAACTCGGGTAGAGCCAATGAATCTAAAATAAATCATTTTTCTCAGGAAGGAAGCTACAGCTGGGGTACATCTACCCAATCAAGACCAGGTTTAGTTCTCAGCCTTATCCCTCTGCAGTATTTCTTTCGTTTCCACAATACTACTTCCTTCTGATTTATTGTCCAGTAACTCCCAACTCTATACCTGTATCCGAGGCAACTCTCATGGACATCTCCGCTTGGGTGCCCTATAAATGCCACAAATACAACAGCTCCAATATTTTATTTTCTCCATATGAATTTCCTTCTCTTGCATACTCTATCTTATTTAATGACACCAGGACTCTCCTAGCTACTTGAGCCAGAAAATTTCAAGTCATTTTTTGTCTCCTCCCACAAATTCTAACTGATCATAAACTCCTGTTAATTAAGGTGGTTTTCCACTACTCTAATTCACCCATCATTATTTCCTAAATAAGCCTCTTATCTGATCTCCCTGCAGCTTGTCTTCTTCTTTCAAAACTCATTCTCTCCACTGATGGGTGGAGGTAAATTTTTAAACGGGATTGCACTAAGTCCATTTTCTGCTTGAAGGGATTTAAAAGCTTTTTAACAGCCTCAGGATCACGTGCAAATTCCTCAAAATGGAATTTTTGAGAGCCCTTCAAAATTTGGATCCAACCTCCCTAACCCCTTCATTTTCACCTCCACTGAACTCATACTGTGCATTCATAAAGGCCTATAACATAGTCCTTGAAATCTTCCTTGTAGTTTAGCAACATATAATTCATTAATGTGATCTTTTCTTTTGAAACACAATGAAATCTACATTTCCTTCAAGATTTGGTTCAAATGTTATTTTTTCTGGTAAGTCAGGGTTTCCTGATTCTCTACTCTCCAATTTTACCCAGAATTAATCATTTCCTCCTTTATGTTCTCATAACTAAAACCCTTTCATTTTAGTATTTCCAGTGTTGTTAAGTGCCTCACACAAGATTTCATTAGTTTGATGAATGAATGCAAGAGGAAAGTTTTCATTTGAAAGCTGATAACATTACTTTTGGTGTAGCACCTTCAACTACCTGCAAAAAACACACTTGTCTCCATAAAGATAAAGATTTCTGGGTTGAAAGCAGATTGGGGGATGGAGAACGAAGAAAATGTAGAAAGTAAATAAAGTGGAAAGGAAAAACCTGTATGAATTAGGGCAGGTGGGACATAATACTGCAATAAAAAACTCTTCAGATGAATGCAAGATATAGATTTACCATGTCTCTGATGCAAGGAAAAGAAAAACAAATATAAAAGCAGTTAGTAAACTTGTAATGTTTGCCCCACATAGGGCAGAATAGCTACTAACACTTCAAGAGACAAAATTTGTTTTACTGCCTCCAAATTAGATTTAAATATTTAAAATGAAATTAGAAATCCTTTCTCTCTTTTAAGTAAATTATAGTAGGCCCCCTTATTCTCCAGGGATATGTTCCAAGCCGGCCAGTGGGTGTTTGAAACTACAAATGGTATGAAACCCTATATACTATGGTTTTTCCCTATACATACCTATTTACGATAAGGTTTAATTCATAAATTGGGTACACTAAGAGATTAACGACAATAAAATAGATCAATTATAACAATGTACTATAATAAAAGCTATGTGAATGTGCTTTCTCTCAAAATATCTTTTGACTTATTTCTGGAATGTTCCATTTAATATTTTTATACCATGGTTGACTGAAATCATAGATAAGGGCGGACCACTGTGTTATAAGTTAATGTAAGATGATTTAACCTCCTATACTATTACTTATATTTTGCTCTAACTTTGACACATTTTTTACTTTCTAAATTTGATTTCAAATGTTCTACTCTGATTAATACTTAGAACTATTTCTGGTTATTATACCTATTCCATTTCACTAGGATCAAAAGAGTACATGGGCAATTTGATATGAGAGATCTGAAAAAATGAAAAAGAATATATTACCTACTTCTTTTGAGCTAATTCAATTTACTTAAATATAAAGTAGATGTTCTACAAATAATCAGTAGAGTAAGAGGCAGTGAAATTTTTTTATTATTGAATGTAGGTTACCAGTATAAATATATAAAATAGCATTCACTGTTACCTTAGCAAATGTCGACCCACGACCTTCTGACTCAATTGTAATAGTTTTTGTGCGACGTAGTAAAATCTGATCAATATCCTCTTCACAGAATTTAGAACCTTCATCTTCCTCTTCCATAATAGCGCCATAAGCACCTCTTCGAAGCAGATCTTCTATTTCCTTTTTGGAAAGCTGTTGAATCTAAAGAGAAAACAATTTTGGTAACAATATTTTTCTAAAGTTCATAGAATGAGAAAGTAACCCTAAAGAATGTCAAACACTGAGGTCTTATTTAAATTGCCATTTAGGGGTCGGCCGAGTGGCGCGTTGGTTAAGAGCTGGCTTGGGACACCAGTTCTGAGCAGCAAGCCCCCTGTTCGGATCCCACATGAGGGCGTGACACTGCCCTCTACAGCTAAGATGGTGAGCAGCAGCTCGACGTGGAGCTGGGCTGCTGTGAGTCGCCGGCGACGGTGTAGGCTGCAGCCCCTGCTGCAGTGGGCTGCAGTAAGCTACTGTGTGTGGCTGGCAGCCGGTGTGAGCTGCCAAGAGCCGCCGTGAGTGGCCGTCCAGAGACCGGTGACCAATCTGCCTCACCTGAGAAGAGCGCAATGATAATACCAACATGGGCCAGTGAAGCAACATCCTCTACAACTAGACTGAAGAACAAAACGACAGCAACTTGTCTGTTCCCTTTCCCCCTATTCCCCAGTGCTGTTCCCTGTTGCATTATAGCCAATTCCGTTACCACCCCCCTACACTAGCCTCTGACCCATTAGTCGAGAGAGTGTCTCGGAAAACTGAGGCCGGATGGAAT